CTCGCCTCTCGGTGATGCCGAGCGCTTTCAGAGCGGCCGCCAGGCAGGTCCGGGAGGCCGAGGGCGGTGCGCCGCCGCGCGCGGGCGCGACGCAGAGGCGCGAGGACGCCCGCGCCGCGGAGGGGGAGGCGGAGAGCGGAGTGCACGCGGCGGAGGAGGGGGGCAGCGGAGCACATGCGGCGGAGGAGGGCGAGGGCGAGGGCGAGGGCGAGGGCGAGAGCGAGAGCGAGTCGGAGACGGAGTGAGGGCGGTGCGAGTGGGGTTGGGATTGGGGTTGGGGTTATGCATGTCTAGTTCGGGGTGACGGCCTGCTTAGTTCATTTCTGTTTTCTGTGTTCTGTTTCTTGTTTTTCTTGGGTGAGGCTCCAGCTGCTGGGACTCACCCGTTTCTGTAAATGTTGCTTTTTGTCCATCTTGCTTTCCTGACTGTCCCACTTTCTTCAAGCAGAAGATTACGTTTGTGCGTCCCGCCCTCCCGCTTCCAGCTGCTGACGTCATTCCGCTTACGTTTGTCAATTTCGTGTCGACCGAGAATCCTCAGGAATGACCTGAAAGATCAGACTCTGACTCTAACCACAAAAACAAGAAAAAAAACAGCACGAGATACAGAACGCATCGCTCCGTTCACAAACTAACAAACTAAAGGAAAGGCATAAAGAAAACCATGTAACACAAACGAACAAGACCATCTCTCTCCCCCCCGTCCGCCCCCTCACGCAATCAATCCACTGGGATTTACAAACAAAATTTCATCCGTGCCGCACTATGCAGGTTTTTACAATCAACACTTCTAATCGTCGACCGAGTCGCTGTATATCCGTCGCACGAACGCGAGTGACGAGAGGAACCCGATTGTCCCCGTGAGAAGACCGAAGCAGATCGAGCCCAGAGTAGAGTAAGCGAGGAAGAGGAAGTTGGAAACCACGTTTTTCGCGTCCGCCCCGGGGCTCGTCAGTAAGTAATAGATGCTGTACAGCAGCACGTAGCAGCCAGAACTGGCCGACGCAAACCAGCTGTTCCACCACCACCCGTAGTCGCAGTTGCTGAGCTTGATGAACACCACCACCACGCTCACCTCGGCGCACGTGATCGCCAGGATCGTGAACACCGCCACGAGGAATCCAAAGAAATGATAAAATTCGTCCAAGTAGATCGAGTTGAGGATCACCCGCAGCTCAATGCACACCACTCCAAACGGGAGAATCCCCGAAATCATGTGCACCCACGGTGAACTTAAATATTTAGGCTGCCTTGGAATCGGCCGCGGAATCTGGTTTGTCCGCACCGGAAAGTCGTACGCCTTCCGCCGATACCCTAGATATGTCCCGGCAAAAGCCAGCGGCACGGACACGCCCAGCCACAAGAACAGCAACAGAAACATTGTCAGGAACGGCGCCGCTCCGATCGACCCCATCATCCACACGAACAAGTTGACGACGAAAAATGTCGAAAACGCCACTCCGGGAAGCACCAGCGCCACCCCAAACGTCACCAACTTCCACCGCACACCGCCCATGGCCTTGTGCAGCCTCGCCGCAACGTACCCGCCTATCCCGCTCGACACAACCCAGAAGAACAGCAGCCCGCTGATCAGATTCCCTCTGCGATGCGGGCTCACTATCCCTAGCAACGCAAACGCCAGCGTCACTATACTCACCACCACCAGCTGTGCGCCTGATCCGCACAGGACAGACAGCATGCCGACCGCCGCGGGCGCTCGGAAGACGTCACCCCGCAGCATGCGCCACCCGACGTCATTGTCAAAGTCATCATTAAAGTCGTCCATAATCTCCCCGGGCGCAATGCCGTACCGCGCGCAGTCCCTTCTCAGCGTGCGGAACAGGACAACAGCGAGGGAGGCTGTGAGAAAGAGGGCCAGCATCATGGAGTTGACGATGGCAAACATCTGCATCGTCTGCCTCCCCGACGACACCTTGAGCAGGGTATCGTACCTTGTGGCCCAGCGCACGTCGCTCTTCACAAATTGGACGGTATACGTAAAAGGGATCTCGGTAGGCTTCCGCATGCGCTGTTCCGCGGGGATGACAAACGGGCCCCCCTTTACGTCGAGGTTGCCCGTTGCGGGGCACGTATTGTCGGCGACCGACATGGGCGTGACCTCAAAGCCGACGATGCGGTAGACGGTCTCCGGGGTGGCGTAGCGTGAGGTAAGGCTGAGCTTCTCGTACTCGTCCGGGATGTGGTACATGATGGAAAAGGCGAGATGGTTGGTGACCTCAATGTGGCGTGTGGAGGCGGCGGAATCGCCGAGGGGATAGCCCAGGCGGTAGCTGCCCGTGGGGCGGCGGACGACGACGGGAAGGTCATCCAGGGTGAGGCGGACGCGGTAGCCCTTGAGGATCCTAGCGGCGAGCAAGTTGAGGTTGGGGACGGAGAAGTTTGCGGTGCAGACGTGTGCGCAGGGGAGATGTTGGAGGAGGTGGAGGGTGTGGGGGGTGAGGCGGGCCCTCTCGCCCTGGAGGATCTGGCCGAGGCCGAGGGTGCGGACGTCCTTGGAGGTGGCGGCGCTTGCCTGCTGTGCGGCGGAGGGTGCGCAGAAGGGGAGGGTGTAGTAGTCGTACGGGAGGCGGTTGAGGCGCGAGACCATGTTGGTGGCGAAGATGTGCAGGACTTCGCCGCGCGAGAAGTCGTTGGCGGCCAGGCCGGGCAGCAGCGAGGCGTGGGCGTGGCGCGAGTGCGGCAGCACGAAGGCCAGCAGCCGCAGTAGGTCCAGCGGG